CATGCCTTCAGTCGTCGTGTTTTAGTTACCTTAGGCATGATTAATATCGTCGCCAATTTCTTTCTTTTTTAAATAATGAATAACCAAAAGTGTTAAACGGACGACTTCAAAAAGGATAAATAAAAAAATCATACACATTATTACCATTGTATTCGTAACACAAATTTATCATTGTATCATTATTTCCACACTTTTCACAAAGTTAGCTAAATATACAAATAACCACCAATATAAAAACAAACAATGTTTTTGTTGTATTATTTATTTCTACAAAATTAAATTTCTAGTTACGTTAGTGTTAATATATGGTCTTGTTTTTTATTCTATTGAATAATGGTAATACAATAGTAATGATGATGATAATAATAATAATAAAAATAATAATAACAATAGTCATAATAATGATAATGATAATAACGATAATAATAATAGCAAAGCAGAGGTGCCGTGGTTTGTGAATCTATCACCGGACTGTACATCACATGGTTCACGGTTCGAGTTCCGCCGCGCACTAATATCATTTGGCAAGACAATAATCTACAATTGACCCTTTCCACCTATGTGAAGTAAATGGATATCCGGAAGGAAGATATTCGCTGAAGGCTTTAGCGCCTTAAAATGGCAGCTCATCGTCAGCCGGGGTAATAATGTGATACTTAATGTGTATTAAGCGCAGTATAGTATATTCATAGAGCAGCTGCGCAATACAAATGGACATATTATATTATCATTATTCTCATTTTTATTATTACTATATATTATCATTAGAAATAGTAGTAGTAATAATCATTACAATTATAATAATATAATCATAAGAAGAAGAAGAAGGATGAAATTTTCTCCAAATCCAATTAAAATCAAAATATAAAAACATGTGCATTATAACAACAACATTCATAGAATATACAAAAATGAATGAGAACAATTAATAATATGCCGAATCAAACAGATACGTTTGAAGGTTAAGTTTTAAACATTTCAACTGATCTGCTAGTACGAATGTCTAGAGGAAAAGCATTCTACAGCGAAGGCCCTGCATGGGCAAAGGTTTTCTACCCCACTTGGTATTGAGCTTAGGAACAACACGTACCCCGAAGTTTGGAGAACGTAAAGGTCTAGACGATAACTAGTTATTTATCAAAGTAGACTTGTTCTGTGTATCAGAGCTCACAATTAAACAAAAGCAAAATAATATTGAAAGCAATGCGTTAAGTCATAGGCAACCAAAACAGTGGTGTGTGAATTAGCATCGTGTGACTCTGTCATTTTAAAGTTTTGTAACCGTACTAGCTGATATTAATTGATTAATTAATTAATTTTACCAACTGCCAAAACAAAATGCTTTATGTGGTCCAAGGGAAAATATGCATAATGCATGTACACGGTAGGGAATTAATTTGAAGAAGTTGAAATCGTTTAAAGGAAATGCGAATGTAATGGTTCGAGCTACGTTGCCACACCAACTTCCTTAGACAGTACATTTAACAACAATTATTGTCACTCTTCACCCGGGTGTAGTAAATTGATTACCTGCAGGCGTATGTGTAGGTCTTCAAAATACCATATGTAATTGACAGGAGGTCCTCTTACCCCCAGTCATTGGTCGCTTTGCTTTTTCTCATCTGTACAATCATATTTTGTTTTTATTTGTTCACTCCAACTCTAAGTTAAATGCTTAAAACTCACTATATTGTGAAGGGAAAAACAATCAAGTCTTATTAGTTGCGTAGCGTGGGCTTAGTCAGGGGGGGGGGCAGCCATCTTTAGTCTACTAAATCAGCGTTTCGAACATTTTATTAGTCACGGCACCCTTTTAGGAGCTAAAATGTTTCGCCCCAACCCAATTCAAAATTCATCAAAGAGGATTTGTTTTCCATCCCTCGTACCCAAAGACGTACGGGCACATTTTCGTGTGAGGACCGTGTAGTGATAGCTACATGTTGTTTAACAGAGTCTGCAAATACAGACTAGCATGTATAACTAAATAGAAAATGACCTGCAACCCATGACTCATGCCATGTCATGTTATGAAACAATGAGTACTTGACATAGAGCCTCAATAAAGCTATACAACCTATTAGTTCAATCAAAGCTCTCCAACTGGTCTTTTATAAGAACATAATATGGTGTCAGAACTTGGCAGCCAGTGTTTGTGCTGAGCAACCCAGCCTACAGTATATATATATATATATATATATGGAGGAATCATTGAAATCAGGCCAGTTCAATCCAATTCTTTGTGATGAGAGAGATGATGAGAGGGCTTAGAATCTAAGTGTATTTCCAGTGAATGTACTTATGTCCATAATAGTTAGTGCTTTAGTTGTATGGATTGGAGTGCATAGTTCTGTGCCGGGCCAGTTCCAGTATAACGGGCAGTAAGCGTGACATATATGGGACATGAACATACAGAATAACTCAGTGAAAGTTAATAGTTGAGCTTAAAGTAATTGTTGCAAAGATACAAAGAGAAAAAGCTAATTGTTATGCTGTTCATGTGAGTGACTACACTAGTCTAAGAAACAAAAAGAAACAAAATGGCAAATCTCATTCAACCTCCTCCACTCGACTTAAAGGGTAATATTTTCGAGAACTGGAGAAGATTTAAACAGAAATTCACTCTATACAATTGCCTCAGGAATGTCTGAACAAGATGAAAAGTTACAAACATCAATGCTTCTACACGTGGTTGGCGATGCTGCCTTGGAATTGTATAATACGTTTGTATTTGCTGAGGGTAAGAGCATGAAGCTTGAGAAAGTGTTGAACAAATATGAGGAATATTGCATGCCGAAAAGTAATCTAACGTATGAGAGACATAGATTTTTCACAAGATCTCAGTTAGTGCATGAGAGTGTTGATCAGTACGCAACAGAATTGCGGAGTCGTGCTCAGTCATGTGAGTTTTCCATGTTGAAAGAGAGTCTTATCCAGGACAGAATTATCTGTGGTATTTTAGACGATGGTCTAAGAGAACGTTTGTTGAGGCAAGATGATCTTACATTGGTTAAAACGTTGCAAGTATGTCGTGCGGCTGAACAAACTCGAACGCAGGCACAAGCGTTGAGTTCCGCAGGGGAAAACGCCTCAATTCCGGTAGATTCTTTTAGCAAGACTAAAAAGGATTTTTCCTGGTTCAAAGTCAAAACGGTCAGAACCTCAAGGTCGTAATAAAAGTGATGCAAGTAGCAGGTGTGGAAAACCGACATAGCAAAGACAAATGTCCCGCACAAGGTCAAACATGCAAGAAGTGCAGTAAGCAAAATCATTTTGCTAAATGTTGTAAAACCCCAGTAGCCAAGGTCAATGAACTGCAGCACTTGGAGGTAGATTCAGAAGGTTTCATGATTTGTTCTGTTGAATCAAAATAATCCAAGGATGAATGGATAGTTAATCTACTAGTCAATAACCAGCCGGTTGACTTCAAGGTTGATACTGGTGCTCAGGCGAATCTTCTTCCTGAGACAGTATTTCACAAATTGAAACCAAAACCAAAGCTACAAAAAGCCAAAGTGCTGTTGACAGGTTATTATGAGACAGATATCCCGGTCAAAGTTGTGTACAAAGGGATCAAACGCAATGTGCCGTGTCTAGTCATTCCTGGAAATCGTCAGCCTTTGTTAGGATTACGGACGAGTGAAGACTTGTATCTGGTGAAACGGGTGTATTATGTTGAGAAACAAACTGAACACGGAACGGGTAAAAGTGTAGTTCAAGACTATCAAGATGTGCTTGTAGGTCTAGGTTGTCTTCCTGGTAAACACCACATCACAATGAGAGAGGACGCACATCCTGTTCAGCATGCATGTCGCAAAGTTCCATTTTCACTTCAAGATAAACTTAAAGACGAGTTAGATAAGATGGAACGAATGGACGTAATCACACGAGTTGATGAGCCAACTGATTGGGTTTCTTCTCTCGTGGTGGTGATGAAAAAGAATGGTCAGGTCAGAGACCTGAACCGAGCAATCAAAAGAGAACACTATCAATTGCCATCAAGAGCTGAAATAACTGCACATTTTGCAGGAGCCAAATACTTCAGCAAGTTAGATGCATCTAGTGGTTTTTAGACAGATCCAACTAGATGACGAAAGCTCCAAACTTTGTACGTTTATCACGCCATACGGAAGGTACAAGTTCTTGAGACTACCTTTTGGTATTTGTAGTGCTCCGGAAGTCTATCACAAGATAGTGCACCAACTGTTTGCACACATTCCGGGAGTTAACACAATGATGGATGATGTGATTGTATAGGGAACTACCCAACAAGAGCATGATAACAGGTTGAGAGAGGTTCTCAGCATTGTGAAAAAAATGAATCTCAAGTTGAACAAAGACAAATGCGAGTTCAATGTCAAGAAGCTCACATTTATTGGTGACTTGATCAGTGATCAAGGAGTTCAACGTGATCCAAAGAAAGTGTCTGCTATCTTGAACATTGAGAGACCGAAATGTCGGAAAGATGTCCAACGGTTCTTGGGTATGATCAATTACCAAGGGAAGTTCATTCCAGATCTGTCGACCAAGTCAGCAGCGCTGAGACATCTACTAGACAAAAAGAATGTATGGACATGGGATCATGCACAAGAGGATGCATGGAATCAGCTGAAACAAGCTCTGATACAAGAGCCAGTCCTACATTTCTATGACTGCAAGAAAGCAACCAAGCTGTCAGCAGACGCATCAAAGGATGGTATTCGTGCAGTGCTACTACAGCAATATGATCAAGATTGGGTTCCGATCGCAAAAGGCATCTAGATCAACGACTGATGCAGAGACTAGATATGCACAGATCGAGAAATAATTGCTGGTAATCACATACGCATGTGAAAGATTCCATCAATACATCTATGGACAACAAATAGAAGTGGAGACTGATCACAAGCCACTTATTCCACTGTTTGTAAAGTCACTGGGTGACTGTCCCCTACGCATTCAAAGGTTACTCATCAGGGTACAGAGATATGATTTTTAAGGTCTCGTACGCGCCTGGAAAGTACATGTATACTGCTGATACATTGTCCAGAGCAGTAGATCCCAAGGCTGAGTTGACTGCTGAAACTGATGAAGATATCAGAGTCTACGTAGATGCTATTATCAAGAGCATGCCAGTTACATCGAACAAACGAAATGACTTGTCGGAGAGACAAAGAAAGATGATCAACTGCAAGAGCTGCTAGTGCGCCGCAGTGGCTGCCTTGCTAAAGCCAGGGTAATAATCGGGGCAGCGCCAGGAGCTTCACAACGTGACGGACATGTGCGCTATATAAGAAGCCACCATTAGTATTATTATTATTATTATAATCAGAGATGGTTGGCCGGAAACGAAGCAGCAATGTCAAGTTCGAGTCAGGGAATACTGGAACATCAGGAGTGAACTCTCTGAAGCAGATGGCATCATCTTCAAAGGCAACAAAATAGTGGTTCCCGCTACTATGAGAAGGTTCATGCTAAACAAAATCCATGAAGGACACTTAGGCATCGAGAAGTGTAAGAAACGTGCTAGAGAAGTCATCTATTGGCCCAGAATCAACACAGACATCACTTAAATGGTCCAAAGTTGTACTTCATGCCTAATGTACAGACCAAAACAGCATGTTGAAAGTCTACATCCTCATGACGTGCCGAACCGCCCGTGGGAAAAAAGTTGCTGCTGATGTGTTCACGCTGAACAATAGAGAGTACATGGTCATCGTCGACTACTATTAACAGTTCATTGAAGTATGTACTATGACTTCTATTAGTATCAAGGCCGTGATCAACCACATGAAAGCAGTATTTGCTCGCCATGGAACGCCATGTGAACTGATGTCGGATAATGGTCCTCAATTTGCAAGCCAAGAGTTCCAGAGCTTTGCAAAAGAATGGGATTTTCACCATACTACATCGAGTCCATATTATCCGCAATCCAATGGTCTCGCAGAGAATGCTGAGAAGATTGTAAAAAAACTCATATTGAAGTCACAGCACAGTGGACAGGAAATCCACAGAGCTCTACAAGTCTATCGCAGTTCACCACTATCATGCGGAAAGTCTCCGGCAGAACTCCTCTACAATCGTCGACTTTGATCGAATCTCCCCATACTCGACAACCAACAGGTCAATACTCGATCAGTGAGGGGAAGAAAGGAGGATCATAAGGTGAAGCAAAAAGAGCGATTCGACAAACATGCTCGAGACTTGTCAAAGCTAAAGCCTGGAGATCATGTCATACACCAACACATGAAAACCAACACCTGGTCGAAACGTGGTATTGTCAGGTCTGTCCAGGATCGAAACAGATCATACCAGATCGAGACAGAAACAGGAGAGATACGTCGCAGGAACAGACGTCACCTCAGGCTAGTCCCACGTCAACAACAAGCCGAGTCTATTCCACTACCAACACAGGATGACTGCGAGCTAGATGACACTGCAGAAGCTACAGAGCAACCAGCATCTGAAGAAAGCTCAAATACGTTATCAACCAGAACCAGAAGCGGACGAGTTATTAAACCGCCAGATCGCTTGAACTTGTAAATAAATGAAAGCGAACAACAGAGAAAGATTTTCGCGTTTTGTAAATAGTTTATAGTTACAGAGTTCAACTTGGACTTTAAAACATAACTGCAGAATTGCATGAGCATGATATATATATTTGCATGTATAGTTTAAAAATATAACCGGATTTAATTAGTCACTTTGATTACAAAAATCAACAGATATCACTCAACCTCAACGGAGAATTCCAGTTTCGCGAATCGCAACCTTGAAAAATATGGACTGTCGCGTAATAAGTTATATATTTGAAAGCGACAGTACTCCAGCTTTAAGGGACAGAATAATGCCCTAGTACAGTCGAGAGTGTACATATAGTCCACCCTGTCTCTCTGTACAGTTTAAGAAGTTTTATATGTGTATATGTAAACCTCTTTTAAAGAAGGGAGGTGTAGTGATAGCTACATGTAGTTTAACAGAGTCTGCAAATACAGACTAGCATGTATAACTAAATATAGAATGACCTGCAACCCATGACTCATGCCAGGTCATGTTATGAAACAATGAGTACTTGTACAGGAGATGACTACAAAGATGTCTGACTGACATAGAGCCTCAATAAAGCTATACAACCTATTAGTACAATCAAAGCTCTCCAACTGGTCTTTTATAAGAACATAATAGACCGGTTTGGCCTTTTGTCCGAAAATATACTATCTAGATCCCGAATATTGGGACAGGGAGTTATGCGAGAGGTGAAGCGAAAAAGATGATAATACAATTTGTTGTGGTATGAATTTCATTTTGTTATAAATATACAATCAATAGAGTTATATTCGGACGCCATGCTGCCCGAATCATGATGATATCGCCATATTATCATATGGGGTTATTCATGAACCTAGCTGCCTCAAACTACGCCGTTTCTAAATTTCGCAAGCGAGTGAAGCGAGAGAATTTAAAGTCATTTTTTACTTTGTTTTTATGAAGTTGGCGTTATTCCAAAATATTTTTTCGATATCACTAAAATTCTTCGCGGCACCTCGGTTGAAAAATCGCTGTGCTTAATGATCAAAATTGTAAGGGGGCAGATAGACGAGGCCGGAAATGGATATACCCATTGCCCCCTTAAAGTGGGAAATGTTTGCACTTTAAAATAAAAAGGAAAGACATCCTCTCTCTGTCTCTTTTCTCGTATGTCTATTATCTTTCACTCCTATCCTCATTTATTTAGTTCCCTGTTGTACATTACATCAATGACGTAATAATAATAATAATATTTAACTTTTATATAGCGCTTAATACAAATGTACTATTACCCCGGTCATTGGATTCACCCCAAAACATTTTATATTTTATCCTCTGGAGGATAGTAGGATAGGAGTTTAATACCCCATTCACAGTGGTTTTGAAATTTGTAGCGGCGTTGTAGCGGAGCGGCGACACCGCCAAAACACCGCTACAAATGCATTCACAGTAGAAAAGTTATCCCGCTGCAGCAGCGGGATAAATATCATGTACCCATTCACGCTGCAGCGGGTGATTTTTATTACCTCCGTAACAAACACGTGTATGCATGGCTCATGACCCGCGAGTGACCCCGATATGACCGGAAATACTTCAGCGCGGGGTTTTCGATTGCTTGAAATTGCGCGCGCTAGCTGTACTTTACACACTCTTCCTCATGTAGCTAGCTCGATTTAGCTAAGGATCTATCTATACTTTTACGTATTGATAATCGTATTACAATGAGGCAAGCTTGCAAAAGGTAAACATGTCAAGTTGCTTTTTGTATCCTCAATCATATTACTTTTTAAAAAACTAGCATTTTTATTGCTTCCAGTCAAAATATTTTAATTTTTTGAAGTGTGAAATATTTTTATTTGGATAATTATAATATCTACATAATAATAAAATCAATTTGAATCCACTGGTTACTTTATTTCTATTTCACTTTATGTTCCCCATTGCTGGAGAAAAGAGGTCAGTGATAGGTAAGTAAACAAATCACACGTGTTTGTCGCGGTGTTATAGCGGAGAGCCTTCACACTGAGTAAACACCGCGACAGCAGCGGGACTGTCCCGCTGCTGTAGCTAGGCGAACCTAGCGATAGTTTGTCGCGGCGTTATCGCGAGGCGGTGTTATCCCGCGATAGTTTATAACGGGTCCGAGCCTTCACACTGAAGACAACACCGCGACAGCAGCGGGACAGTCCCGCTGCTGTCGCGGTGTTTGAGGCCACTGTGAATGGGGTATAAGAGTGAGTGGAGCTGCGTTAAAAATTGATCAAAAATTGGCCTGAAAAAATTATTTTGATTTCAAGTTACAAAAAATGAAACAAAGCTTAAATGTCTGGATACAAGGGTATTGGATCTTGAGAATGGAACTGGGTTTTTAGAAACAGAAATCAGTGAAACAAAATCAGAGGTTGAGAAAGTAAAAGCCACGAAAGCAGATTATGGATATGTAAATGAGCTGAGAAAGAATATCGTCGATCTATTATACACTATACTACTTTACACTAAACTCATTATAATTTGACAAATAATAGCTTTGAAATTATGTTCATTCTTTATGGGATGTCGTTTGCTTGGGCAGTATTGGTCCATATTGTGACGTCATTAAAACATTATGTTTATGTGCATTTTACTTTTACAATGCTTCATTAAGCTGAATCAACTCAATACTCGTTCATCTGCCTCCTTTTTATTTTTCATGAATTGAACTCTCTTTTTTTCTCGTTATCCTTTCCCTCTCCCTCTCTTCCACTTTTCACTCTTTATTTCTTCTTTCTTCTCAATTCACTGACAAACTGATTATCACCATTTTATAACTTACAATCTTTTTGTTTTCTTTTTCTTCATACTTTAAGTTATTACTGAATTTTTAATTCAACTGTTTTTAATGCATTTTTATATAATACAATGTGAGCAATGTACTTTAACTTATTACTGAATTTTTAAATCTACTGTTTTTAATGCATTTTTATATGATACATTGTAAGCCAATTATTGTTAGTCTTTGGACTTTTTATTTGGTATATTTGTAATAAAACCGAAATTGAAATCGTTATTTTTCTGGCGAATCTCTTGTATATCCCAGCTGCTATGTAGGTGGTTGTATTTGTATTTTTATAAATCAGTTGACCTAAAACTTGTACGGTGGCCATCTGTTAGCTTACCAGTTTCTAGTGATACATTAGTTGACATATTTGTGATTTTCTTTGAATTTCCCCTTTAATGCCAGGCTCTTCTTCAGGATTGACTCGCGATCAATGAAGCGTAGCAGCTTTAGGTGGATGTGTCTTGGTCCTGGGTTGCGCTGGTCACCAGCTTGAGCACGGGATATTCGTGGCGTGCGATGGGCGCGTTCCACTTCCACATTCTCCATATTCAAAGGAGATGCGAAAAACTGGCGAGCGTATTGTGCGTATCGTGGAATTTTCTTCACCTTCTGGTATGCCGTGAATGATGACGTTGTTTTGCTTACTTCTGTTTACTAGATCGACGATATTCTTTCTCAGCTCATTTACATATCCATAATCTGCTTTCGTGGCTTTTACTTTCTCAACCTCTGATTTTGTTTCACTGATTTCTAAAAACCCAGTTCCATTCTCAGGATCCGATTTCCTTGTACCTAGACATTTAAGCTTTGTTTCATTTTTTGTAACTTGAAATCAAAATAAATATTTTAGGCCAAGAAGATGTGATGGCATTTCGTTTACAAGCGACAGATTCCTTTATTTTTGTATTGCTGCATTTGTCATCAAAATAAAACCATGCGCGGTGTTAAGCGTGAGGCAATAGGGACTTTTAGATTTGCGTGGACTGATACGTGTGACGTCCATTCAAGGCACTTACATTAAAAGGACATCGATCGTAGCAATCCACGTTGTCGTTGTGCAAATCTAAAAGTCCTTAATATAGTATACATTTAGCCTGACGTTAGTGAAGTCAGAGAAAGAACTCAAGAGAAGATAACAATACAGGCACTGAAAATGTGTAAGATGTCATGGGACATCGTCTGCTTGTGCAAATCATGTCCATACTGTGATGTCAAACATCTCAGCAGCGTTCGGAGAGCACTTTAGGTGCTATGCCGGGGCTGTATTAAAGCGTTTTGTAATTTATAATAATCATTCCTTCATATGTTTCCAAGCATTGCATTTTGATAACCTTGTCGAATCAAAGTTTCAACTTTGCAATAATGAAAAAAAAGTTAGTTTTCAAAATCAATGAATATCTACTTTAACAAATGTTCGAATCCGCGGCGTATCAGGATGGCCCCAAATATGTCCCAGGACCCCTAAAAAACCCTTTGTCCGTCAGATCTGAAAAACTATTTCGCTTTGTTTACTATAAATTCTGTGTCTATATGAACATGTTTTTATTATCATGTATGAGATTTGTTTCAATAAATACTTTAAAAAAAAAGAAAACATTTTATCTTACAACAGATTATGATAAATAAAAATCACGATTTGTTATGTTTTCACCAGCGACCATTGCAATTACATAGCTCATCATATATTCTTCATGACTTTTCGATTGAAATTCTCCATGAGTTCTGCTAACAAATTCGAGAGTTTTCTGCTTCAAAATCCACACGAGTCGCAAATTAAACGCAAGAATAACGAAATAATTGTAGTGGTAAGTGTTGCGCATGCGTGCTGCACCTGCGTTGCCAAGAAGGTGACCTCATAAAGAAGACTCTCAAGCCCTCCTGGAGGGGGTTTAAGGGGGGGGGGGGCAAATCCATGTTGTAGGAGATATTGAACTTCGACCTATTTTAGAAATGTCGCTCTAGAAGGAATGAGATTGAAAATGATCGACAATGGTTCAGTTTGTGAAGTTCCGTTTTGTAAAAATTATTCTGGAGTGTGCAAATATCAGAGTGAATGAAGCCATTTAATATCCATCCATCGACTTCCGTCAATTCGCCTCAACAAAATTACATTTTATCGATTAAGATCAATTTCGTCGTAGCATATTATTATTTTTAAAATGTTTCATTCAAAATATCGAAGAGTTTCAACATGAAC